TTTAATTTGTTGTTGAACTAACCTGTGCATAATCTTGCAAAATTTCAACAGAGTATTGGCGACCATGGCTATAAATTCCAGATATATACGATTTCTGCCTATGTTGGCTGGAGCCAAATTATAGAAACCCTGTCAAAAACACTAACATGAAAGTAAATCAACATTTCATTATTAAAAGATTCTTTTTTTTTCACAATCAGCGTTGTTCTGTACATTTTTTTTATTTAATTTTTAGCTGATGCAGTTTACATATTTAACAAATGCCTATGTTCCAAATTACTCAAACAAAGCAGACCTTGCAATAATTCTCTAGCTGTGATTATTTGTTGAAAATATGGCTTTTAAAGTTATCGAACATTTTTATTCCTGGGTTTTGACCCAGGGTCTCCCTGTTGAAAATTTATCCACATAATTTTTGACGAAGAACTCATTTGCAGTCTTGTCTTGATACAGAACTTGCAACGCCACTTGTATTAAACTTATTTCATCTTAAAAAACAATCAAATGAAAGTCATGAAATGCATTATATTTTTCACATTTTGTCATTATAGCTTATAGTACTGGTTTTGCTCATTTATAAGGGTCGTATGATACCCTATACCAGCTTATATCCATGTTTATTGCTCTCAGTTTGATAGTTGTCTCATTGACATTCATGCCGCATCTCCTGGTATTATTTTTTTACTTTTTACAGAATGATCTTATACTTTAAGAAAAATATGGTAAAATAAAAAACCGATACAGCAGGTATATTGTTAGTTTTCTTATTGAATGATACTATGTATCCTTCGAATTCTGGCCACCAACAACACAACAGCCAAAAACATATACTATCTAAGCAGGGAAAACAAGGACATTATACTTTTCCATTGTAGACGTTACACTGTGTGAAATTATAAGCATGTCATTATATATTTCCAGGCCCGGAAAGTGAAATAAAAATAACGTCAAGTCTGCAAAACAAATTTTAACAAAGGTTAAAAAATGGTTGATAGAAAAGACGTCATATTAGAAGTGTTATTTATTTCATGTTTACTTTGAAAATGCTTAGTGTACAGGAAACCAAAAATTAAAACAACATGTTTTTCTTCCTTGCAGTGTTAGACAATTAATAGCTTAAAGAGTTTAGTTTTGTTTTTTTCTCCGTGGAAAAAAGTGTATGGCGATAGTGTTTCATTGATCGGAAATTAAGTCTTGTACTGAAGTATTTTCTGCTCTTTGGTCGGGTTGTTGTCTCTTTGACACATTCCCCATTTCCATTCTCAATTTTATTCTTTCCTCTTCGAAGTTTTAAATAGGATTTTAATACTTGATTTTAAACCATTTCAATAGGCAGTAATGCTTCTTATGTTCTTATGGATTTTAGAACCATAACAACTATTATATAAGTAATTTAATATCTTTTTTGTCCAAAATCTATAGTAAGAATCTTCATATTTTGTTTTCATTTCATTGATTGAGTTTAATCACAAAAACTAGTTACTAGATTAATTGACAGTTATGAGAACCTGCACAAAACTGATATATCGCGAAAAAATTTGGTTGTCCCGTTGGCATCTTTTTAATACGAATGATTTAGAATAAACATGAAAATGATGTAGAAAAGGGGGGTTTGAAACAAGGATGAGAGAGAATTTTAACATTTCAACGCAATGGAGTAACGGTTTCACATTGCCAACGTCGAGATAAATCTCTCTATAACATTAATCAATTTACAGATGAATTGATCATAATCCGCCTGTTTAGGTAAAGCACGCCTTTTGATTTACTATGCGCTATTAAGATTTCACCCATTCTGTTAAATAAAATTATTTTCTATTAAATATTGATTTTATAAAAACATTCAAACACATGTCAAAATGAGGAATGGTTTCTCCCACGTTTTATATTGACGAGAAGCAACTGAAATAAATATCGACCGTGTTGAAAAAAATGAAATAAACCGAAATTTTAATCTTCAAGTACTACATTTGAAAACTTAATTCACTTTGAATCTCACTAATTTAAGTGAGAAAAATTATATTATTTTTACAGAAATAAAAAAAAATCAACATATTTTTAGACTAAATGGGTCCATTTGTCCGTCCGTCCGTCTGTCCCGCTTTCAATTAAAGTTTTTGGTCAAGGTAGTTTTTGATGAAGTTGAAGTCCAATCAACTTGAAACTTAGTACACATGTTCCCTATGATATGATCCTTCTAATTTTAATGTCAAATTAGAGTTTTGACCCCAATTTCATGGTCCACTGAACATAGAAAATGATAGTGCGAGTGGGGCATCCGTGTACTATGGACACATTCTTGTTTCGTTTATTTCAGTAATCGCGGGAAAAAAACGAGAATGACAGCCTCATTATATCAACATCAGTGTATGTCTCAATTCAAATAGATCAATCGAATCACTATTGGATAGATGTGGGTGGATATTATTAGTTACACAGTGTGAAGAATAACGACATTATCTCTCCAAATCAACATCTTTCTAGATAAACCAATGAAAATAGTTGACCAATGTTATGCGATTGCTGTTTTTGATATTATAGTTTTTGTTTTGTTTTGTTTTCTTCATACCCTTATCATTTAGGACTAATGACACATCTGTTTTTGTACTTTTGTGCTTTAGTCATTTCTTTTTCTTTTCTTTGGGATGATTTTTTGCTGATGCTTCTAATGTAATGTACATTTCACAGTTTGTTTAGTATGTACGCGTTCATTATGGATCTTAAATTTAAACACACACTATATGTGTGTGTTTCATTTCCTGCTCCGAGATTTTGTAAACTTTATTTTATACATGTTATATTTGACTTTAACATTGTAATGCAGCCAAGTAGGCTAATTTGCCACATCTGCTAATGTTAATAGGCAAGTATATTTTATTACAAATAACATATTTGGCCTGAAACATTTACATTAGCGAAATGTGAGACCGGAAACAACTGCCAGCGCTGTTCCCACAGCAATGAATTTGCTTGTCCGGTTTTATTGAAAGACTTGTTATTTTATCCTTATATTGCGACAACACTAAAGTGTTTGACTGGTGTGACTTTTGTTATCCATAAATGGATTATTGTCATATTTTTTGGAATGACAGTTCTTTAAACAAGTCATAAATACATGTCTTTCAATGTTTAGAGCTTTTTGACATATATTTTTCTTTAAATATTTTAATGCAAAATCACTGATAACGAAAATCACAAATACCACACAGTACAACGGACCACACTAAACAACAACGACCCGTATTCTTTGGGGAAATAACAGACATACAAAATACAAGCAACGTACAAACCATGGTCCAGATAACCTTTGTACATGCACAAAATATGCTAAAGTTTAACCAGTATTTCGTGCGCACAAATCTCTCTTTTTGTCTATGTAGTACCAACAGGATGTCTGCTTACTTGAGAAAAAACAATTGTAAATGGCACATAATTTGGAAAGCAGTTAAAATTTGCTCGCCATGATAGATGATCCCATCAGAATCATGATATATTCTTCCATTTGATGACTGATAATATGGGATATATGAAAATGAGACAACAACCAAACGATATACAAAAAATATCGAGAGACCGACAAACAGTCTTTCCAAGACGGATATCAATGTCCAAAAAACTAATGTAAACTCGAGTCTTCAACAACAAATATAAATAACAAGAAAGTGTGGTTGCAACCAAATATGAGGTTATTGATTAAAAATAAAGAAACGAGTTTTCTCCATAAATGTTGGTCTATTCTTAGTATATTTGACCTTGACATTTGATGTATTAAACCCGAAATCAATAGGGAATATATAGTCACGTAAGTTTGCAATCCCTTTCGTAGTATTTTACTTAGCAGCTAGAAAACACTTTTCTACACAAATTTCGGTCTGTTTGTGAGTATCTGTGAAATTGACCTTTGACGTGGTGACCTCCAAATCAATTTAGACTTTCCTCTAATTATCTAAGTAAGGTTCAAAAGTATTTGACTTAGTATCCGGAGACCAAAATGACTGGTGTACTGACTGACGGACTGGCGAACAGGTCAACAACTATATCAAACTTTGTAGGAATGACGAATAAATGTTTACCTCGGGATCTGGTGGGGTTCGTGTTGTTCAATCTTTAATTTCCCGATTGGCGTTTTGTGATGTTTTGTTTTTCTGTTCATTTATGGTGATGTATGCTTGTCTTTAATCTATTGTCTTTTGCAATTGGTTTCAGTAGGGTAAAAAATATAAACCAAAATAGGCAATCTTGTTGTCCGTCTTCTTTCAATTCAAACTATCTAATTTTGGTCAATATTGAAATATATTCTTCTCTGATACTAAAGGCTTGAAACGTTAGATGATTGATGCTGGGAGAACCCTCTACAAACGATCCTCGGCATTTATCGGCATTAGTGGAAAATTTCCAATTAAAATGGGATATAATATAATCACATTTGGATCTTCTCTCGAAATATTTGGCCAATTTGACCAAGTTTAAGAGACATAATTTATCCTAAGTCCTTAGGCAATGAGGGGTTAAATTTCTCAGTTGGGCGATTCAGGCTGTTAGGGGTCTTCAGTTTGTGAGCTGCTAAAAAGGAAATTGTCACGAAAACGAAAAGTACAATTTCTTTTCAACATATTTGGAAATATTATTTTATTAAGTAGAATGTTAGTATTTCCTTTAAAAAGATAACGCGGTAGTATCATAAAGAGATTATTCCAATTGCTGCACTCTATGTCGTTACATTTCAACTGTCAAACGCACATTATACATGCAGCATTCATTATATATTTGATTTAGTAAATGTGAATATTGTTTCGTTTCAAATACATTATAAATTGACGTTTCCGTTGGGATGCAACTGAAAATCAATAATCTTTTATATGTAGGGGTATAAGTCAAAGGGAGATTAACCGAACGACAAAGAAAAAATACATCGACATGTATTTGTTGTTATTTTGCTGACACTTTGAACATATCTTTGACTTCATGACTTTTTTAAAGAAATGCTGGTAAAAAATTAATTCGGTTAACATTGACTTTATTTAAATCCAATTCTTTTTAGATAAAGATTGTCAACTATTTAAACTCTGATTCTTATAGCCAATTGTGATGTGGAACAAATTTCAGGTGGTCTGGTTCCTAAAATAAGAAAACATATGTATAAGGTACGCAAGCATTATAACAAGTATTGTGTAAATGTTGTGTTTTGTAGATCGTTGTTTGTTTTTCGTTTTTGTCATGGCATCGTCAGTTTGTCTTCGACTTGTGAGTTTTAATGTCCCGTTTGGTATCTTCTGTCTTTCATTCAAAATAAAAATCAGTAATCATTGGTGCAAAATAAACTTTACCACATATCAGAACACATAAAGGTCATTTATATTTTAAGAGATAATGGTACCCATCCATCAACAAAGTTTCAGAAATGCTGTTGTCTTTTGTAACGGTAAAGATGTATAAATACCCTGCCACGTCCTGTCTGTGTTTTGGGTCCTCAATGCTCTTCAACTTTGTACTTGTTTGGCTTTATAACTATTTTGATCTGAGCGTCACTGATGAGTCTTATGTAGACGAAACGCGCGTCTGGCGTATTAAATTATAATCCTGGTACCTTTGGTAGCAATTTTTGTGATCTGATGAGTTAATCCCTTATCAACTGATTTTTATAGTTTGTTCATATGTTGTACTGCTACACCGCTGTCCAAGGTTAGAAGAGGTTGAGCGCCCGTTAACATGTTTAACCCCGCCACATTTTGTATGCGCCTGTCCGAAGTCAGGAGCCTGTAATTCAGTAGTTGTCGTTTGTTGCTGTATATCATATTTGTATTTCGTTCATTGTTTCTTTTTTACATAAATCAGGCCGTTAGTTTTCTCGTTTGAATTGTTTTACATTTGTCATTTCAAGGCATTTTATAGCTGACTATGCGGTATGGGTTTTGCTCATTGTTGATGTCCTTACGGTGACCCATAGTTGTTAACTTCTATGTTATTTGGTCTCTGGTGAAGAGTTGTCTTATTGGAAATTATACCACATCTTCTCATTTATTATCTATTATATTTTTTTTAAGTTAAATGATATCATAATATTTTAGTTGCGAGTACAAAGTCTGTCACAATATATAATGCTTGTTTTGATTTGTTATTTTTTTTTTACTTATCCTATTGTTCTTTCTGGTTATTATGTCAAGATGCTTCGATGTTATTCAAAACTTTAAATGAAATTCATAGCTTACCTCATTCATATAGCCTTCTGTCTTTGGACAAGGAGCAGGGATATTAAAGACTGCAGGGTTGGAGACTCCTCTTTTCAGGCCAATATAGCCAGTATTACTGAGAGCACTAGTTGAAAAACCGGATATTGCTTGAAGTACACACTGTCCAGAACCTATATCTACTACAATCGCAGTTTTGTAGTCCAAAGCATCTGACCATGAATATATCTTTACTGAAAGCTTGGGACTGGAAGCAATTCCATAATGCGATGAAACTGTGAACTTTGCCTTGGCTATAAAAATATAATATAATAAAATGTTATATGTATATTCCATATGTTTAAAACTTTTCTTAAAATGACAGTAATTTATACATACTTTTTTGTTATCATTTATAAATATTGGTGACAGGTAAGCTAGAAAACCACCCTTAACCTTTTTTCCAGGTAGAACCACTAAAACGTGCATGCATTGTAAGAATATCTGAACAACGACTGATAACTTCAGTAAGAAATTATAAGCTAAACATGAGATTTTTTGGCAACTATTTTTAGATATATATCTAACATCTTTCTAATAAAATCTTTATACTTGATATAGGCAGATGATTCCAAACTATTCAAATCTTAAATACACTAAATAAATAGATTGATTTGGGGACCTGAATCAAAAAGATACGTGGACATTAACTTAACAGTAAGTTCCAGACATTGTAGTTTCTTGTGGGATAAGTGTTGCTCAATCTTTCAGAGTAATATTAAGTTCAGTTTTTGTCATTTTTTGTTTTTTTGGTTAGTTTTTGGAGTTTTTATTGGGGGGGGGATGTCAAGATTTTGTGTTTTAAGTAAAATATTGTTAGGGTCAAGCTCTTGCTCATATCTGGATATTAATAACAATATCTCAAAATTAGGCTACGATGGCAGTTTATTTATGGTGTACACTAAATAAAAGAGGTTTCAAAACAAAAATGTAAATGTTCAACAGACTAGTTTCTTGTAAAATTTTGAAGAATGTTGTTTAGTAGAAAACAACTCATCTAAGATAGCAGACTTGATTTATTATATGTTGTTATACTTGTTGATTGTCGAATTCAAGGGGTCAAAACTGGCCTTCTCTTTTTCTCCTTTTTCTGCATAAGGAAAAAAACAGTTACAATTTACAACGACTGTCATACAAGTGATAGATTTAGCTAGCTATAAAACCAGGTTTAATCCACCATATTCTACATAAGGAAATGACTGTACCAAGTCAGGAATATGACAGTTGTTTTTCATTCGTTTGATGTGTTTGAGCTTTTGATTTTGCCATTTGATAAGGGACTTTCCGTTTTGAATTTTACTTGGAGTTCGGTTTTTTTTGTTATTTTACTTTTTACCAGATTAAATTATCATTGATTAAGTTAAATTTAATATTGCTATTGGTTTTAGGGGAAATGTTACACAATAAGATTCACGACACGGAAAGCGATTACATTGTTTAAAACACCAATTATATCAGGCTTATAATTTACAAGAAGCAGGAATAAATAGACAATTGACAAGACAGCAAAGACCCAACGTATACATACTTGTGTGAGGCACACAATCAATAACTATAACAGATTTAAACAAATAGCAGAAAATGTTCATTGGGTTTCAATTTTATTAAATATTAACAGGTAATAAATTGTCAGTAGATAAAAGTTTCCATATAAATCTGATCGCTGTGATTGTTTTGTTGTTTTTGTTTGTGGCCGACGGACAATTGTCGTTGAAATTTTAGTAATGAAATTGGGTTTTTTTTGTTTTTTTTTAATTTGTGATTTTTGCATTAAAAACATGATTTACCACAAACCGACGCAAGTGTTCATTTTTGGATAGAAAACATACCTATATAACAATGTTTAATTAAAATGAATGTTTCACTAAATGGGTTGGTTTTTTTCAAATCTTCATCACCATCTTTTTTATATTGTGATCCGGGCTCAACGATGAATATCATATGAGCTGCGTCGGATAGAAATCGACATTATGCAAGTACATGTATATATGTGCATGTTTAAGACTTTGATTGATTTTGGAACATTCAAATACGAAATAAAAAATGAATGTTTGTCTGTTGTGTAGGGTACTTATAGCAACTCAATTTTCAAACAGACTGCATAGATATTTTTTCAACCCGAAATAGGTTAACAGATTATTGATATTCATTTGCATAAGGTCAATTTTTAGTGGTGGTCGCTGGTTCATGTCTGTCATTTATTTGTTTTTCGTAAATTGTATTGTTCTACCTAAGGTTGTTAGTTTTTACGTTTGAATTGGCTTGTATTTTTTTTTATGTCAAGGCCTTTTACAGCTGACTATACGGTATGGGTTTTGCTAATTGTTGAAGGTCGTATAGTTGTCTCATTGCCAATCATACCAAATCTCCTTATATTTATACAAATCAGTTGAATAGCATTGCTAACCAAAGAGTTTTAGGTTGTTCCAAATCTTGCTATGGCCACATTAGCCTGGGGTAGAGGCATATCAGAGTTTAAAATAGTTTCAACATATACAACAAAGAATGTGCATTGCTGTTAGAAAGCCAAGATATTGGATAGCGATGACTAATATATAAGAACAAATATATATTGCCAATATTTTCCCATTCTTTACAATCGGCATTTCTACACACTTGTATATGTGTATTTGCGACTTGAATTAAGTCTATATATACCAAACAGATCTTTCTAAATGAGACGTAATTTTCAACCCTTATATATCAATAGTTAATTCTCGCCGTTTGAACTAACAGTAGAATTACCATTCGGCAAGAACCTAAAAGCGTCAATGTGTTTATTATATATAATTCACAGTTGAAATCACAGACCAGCATTCAAAAAGTTAACAAAATTACACAACGAAACGATGATTCCGATCGTGTAGATGGTTATAACCATTATTAATTTTAGTTATAATTCGTAAATGTACATTTACTTACGATTCAAACATCCTGTCATACTACTAGAAATAGCTGATGTGAAGCATCTGTTATCTACCACTAAGTACTTCTTGCCCTGTTGCAAAGATAAAAAAAAAATGTTTATTCAAAAGGTTTTAATAACAAAAGCTTGTAACCAAAGAAAAATTGAATTATCAATCAAATTAGTGTACAGAGTAACTATGTAACATTTGTAAGAACTTTCAAGTTTATCGGAAATATGGATGGAACAATTTAGTGCAAAATAAAAAACTTATAATGACACCATTAGAGGTACCAAGATGCGCATTTCGACAACTTATGCCTTTTCAGTGACACTCGAGGCCATACTGCATGAAAATCAAACATCAAAAAAAAACATTGTAGTGCTGTTAAAACCATAAAAGATCAAAAGTAAAGTCAATTTCGTCAAGGAATCAGAGACATACAACGAGTGAGATGCATTTCCTAGTTTAACACCGAATCATGATAAAACATTATCCGTATGTTCATGCCAGCACCGAAGTTCTGGTAACTGGGCTGTTGATAGCCTCCACGGCTTATAGTCCACTAGCTACAATATCGACCAAGTTGTATTAATAACATTAACTAAACCAATTTTACTGCCCCAGATGCGCATTTGTCAATTAATATCTCTTCGGTGATGCCCGAGGTCAAAATGTTAGAAAATTCAATCCTTAAAGAATGTTGAATAGCTGATAAAACCAAACAGGACGAAAGTAAAGTCAAACACTAAAACAAATCAGAACTATGCATCAAAGAGATGCATTTCGTTATTTACAATATTTCAGTAGAGCAACAACAATGCAAAAAGGACACAATGCACCTCTGAAAATGAAGGCAAAAACAAATGGACGGGTAAACTCAGGTAATAAGAAAAATTAAGTAGTTTCTGAATAATATATACATAATTTAACAATTGAATTTATATAATGAATATTATATAGCAACACTTCGACTGATATCGTGCAAATGTTTAGCAATGGATAATCGGCTTATGAAGTCCTTGATTAGTTAAAAATGGGATATGATGATCATTTCTGTTTTCCAAAATTAGTTCTACCTTGTCCGGTTTCTACTTTTGAAATGGTCAAGGAAACACAAAAATTACATTAAAGAGGTGAAGTGTGTATGGTCCAGAGTGTAAATATAAAAATAAGAAGATGTGGTATGATTACCAACTCTATTTAATTGTTGCACGTTGAGATATTCGTGAATGTCTTTATGATAACCCTTATTCCTCGCTAATTGCTTTGCTGTTTAACTTACCTTGGTATAATCAAACAATGTTGTTACTGAATACTGTTTGCCATTGGCGAACACTTTTCCAGATGAATAAATTTTCTTCTTCGTTTTGCTGACGGCAATTGCATAGAAACCCTGTCAAAAATACATAACATAGCGAAATTAATATTTTATTGTGATCTAAGGATCAAAAGGGCCCTTAATGTTTGTGTTATTATGTCCCTTCTGTAAAACGTTCAGTTGATACAATTTGAATGTTTACTTAATACTTATTTTCTAAATCACTCACACAAAGTTTACCTTGGACAATTCCAATTATTCCATATTTTTAGAGTATAAGGCTTTTCGAATTTTCTGCCTGTTTTTTTGCTCGGTGCGTTCCTGGTGAAAGGTTATCTAAAAAAGTTCGAAAACAACTTGCAGTTGTGTTTAAGTACAGGAAACCGTTGGTGCAATTCTTATTTTTTGTTTTAAATTAAAGGAATGCAGACTCAAAAACATTTTACAGAACGGTCTTATACTTTATAAAAAATATGGTAAAATACATACCGATATAGCCGGTGAATTGTCAGCTTTTAGACTGGACCCACTGAATCCCTCGAATTCTGACGGCCAACAGCAGCCAAAAACAGACGCTATCAAAGCAGCGAAAGAAAGAAGGACAAGATACTTCTCCATTGTAAACGTTAAACTATGACATAATTAAGCACCACATTTTATAGTGTTAAGTCCGGAAAGTGTTAAACAGATAACGGAAAAGTTTGCAAAACCCAAACAACGTAATTTGTCTACTCGGAAATGTTACATTTGTTTACATGTATAAAGGTTTTTGACAAGGTCGATATAAAAAAATATATTATAAGAAATGTCTCCTCCTTATATCAGGTTTAATGTTACCCTAGTTTGTCTACAGTACCTAAACTATGATCGTATAATGCCTATATAATTGTCAGTATTTGAGTACATATTTTGCTTTCAAAGTAATGCTTTTTGTGTCAGAAACTAAACCCTTAAATAATATGTGTCAAAATGCTATGTTAGTGAATTGATAGTTTACAGAGTTATGTCTTTTTTTTTAATAGAGATCGAGTTTCTTAATTCTTGTACTGATGTATGTTTTCTCTCTACATGTCAAAAGCAAGCAATTACCAAGAACATACTCTATCAATGCCGTAAAGGAAAAGCAGGACAAAATACTTTGCCATTACAAATGTATTCGTACTTTTTTGTCAATTTCGTATTTGCTGGAAATTATTATAGATACATGAAAAAATGGCATCTACGTTTAAATGCTTTTGTAATGGACATAATATGTTAATCCACTGAAAAGTAATTAAAGGTCTTATCATGTGCTGTAAATGTACGCAATTCTATATTTTTCACTACTGGTTCAGATTTAACTTCATCAATTCTTACTGCTAGTGAAATTTTTATCAGTAATCAGTTATGAAACATTTCTGAACTGAAATAGTCAAAAACACTATACCATTATCAGCATAATATCAAACATATCAAATGTAATACTCTTTGACCCGTAAATGGAATAACAAAAATCAACAGCGTTTAACTTGTATTCTCATACATAAAACTACTAAAATAATATGGGGTTTACACAAATCATATCGGACTGTGATAAAAGGGAAACAACTCAATTTCTAGAACAAGAATAAATCAAAGTACGTAAAATAATAATAAAATAATATTACATGAAACATTTCTGAAACAAAACCCGCATAAATTATTTATTTTATTTGATATAAAAATACACAAGTTTTGATACACTACATTGCCTATAAATGTAAACCTTATAAATATAAAATTACCCAAATAAAGTAACATTTTAAAAAACGGTACGAGTGAATACTCATGCATTCAAAAATTTAAGCTACTTTCAAACCCGCAAATGGATTTCTTTGAAAATTGGAATGTAATTTATCACCATACGTGTCATTAAATCCAGCTTACATAAATTGTCTAATAAAACAGTTCTTTGTAAAAGATATACAACACCATGCTCAAAGTGTAGGTTTTAAGCTAAACAGAAATAAGATTCATACCGAATAAAATTACTGTCAATGACCTTAATTTGTGATTGGACGTAAAACATCCATCGGTCTATTTTCCTGTAATAGTTTATTAATATTGTTTTTTTCCCACCTAGTTATTTTGAGCTTGTGTCATATAAGCGTTTTTTCCCTCGTCACATGATAGTGCCATCATTATTCCTTATTTTGGTGAACTTGACTTGTGTCAAATTTATGTACCACGCCTAATTGCAATTTTTGTGTTTATAATCATATCTATTTGAAACAAATTCTTTATTCTAGAATATTACCATAAGGAATTATTATTCGACCTGTTAAACTTCCAGTTAATCAAATTGAATGAATTAATATATTTAAAAATAATATTTTTTAATCAAATCGACAAACAATCACATGAAGTTAGCATCCTTTCAAATGTAAGAATTAAAAATGCTATAAAATGCAATTATAATGTATTTCATATATTTATAATCATTTAGCACGACCTTGCTCCTTTAAAGTAAGTGGTTTGAAACAAAAGTATCTATCTGTATAATCAATTGATTATTTTGATATGTAGTTCAAAGTTAATATATTCAAAACAAAAATTAGTCATTATTTGTTGTTTCTACTAGAAGATAGATGAAAACCTCAAATACTTCAGATGGTCCATTTCCTACAAAAGAAAACAAAACATGAAGGTAATCCAGTTCTGCGGACACATAAAACTAAATTGTCATTTGCATACTTTTAATTAGATAAGGTCACACACATAATGGGTGTTTCATCTTGATAGTATCAAACAATTTCAAACCGAAGACATTATTGAAGACTCTGTGTTAACCTCTATTGGTTTTTTGTATGTCGTTAGTTTTCTGTCTAATTGGTCTATACCCCTCATCTACTTTTAGTCAGATTTATACAAAAAAATACAAAATAATTTATGAAACACATTAGACATCATAAATATATAAGAAATGCTATTAATCATCTTAACTGAGCTTACTTCTGGTATTATAGACATTTCGGTTGCCTTCTTACATGCTTTAGGAATGGCAAATTGTGTGGCATTCCTTATACCAAGACTAAGTCCATAATAATTAACATCAGTGTCCGCATTACATGATTCAAGGTGTTCCGCTATAGGGACACACCCCCTTCTCATCACAGTAAGAGTTGTCTGTACTCCATCTTCTTTGAAGTAATACATGTCAACCCCAAAAACATCTTTCTCTATACCAGAATATGTTGACAATATCGGTTTGGCGTTAGCTACAATATTAAAATTCAAATAAAAACGTTCATATTGTTTGTTAAGTGAGGCGAAAGATACTAAATGGACATTCAAACTCATAAGTTGAAAAACAACTGACAATTCCATGGCAAAAAAACGACAAAAAGACATACAACAGTACAAAAAACACAACATGGAAAACTGAAGACTGAAGACTAAAGACACGAATCCCACCAAAAACCGGGTTTGATCTCAGGTCTTCCGGAAGGGTTAGCAGAAACTGGCTCATAATGATATTTCAATTAAAACTTTAAAAAAAAACATCGATATGAAAGGTTTTAAAGAATATGTTAAGAAGGCAATCGAACTGAACTGACTTCGACGAACTATAACTTAGAGAATTTTCGTTAGCTTCTTCCATAGTAATATCAATCATCTTGTATAAGTATTTTCCACCAGTTTTTATTTTATTTATATGTTATTCTTTTTTATTCTTCTAATTTTCTTCTTTATTTTTTTTTTTTATATTTTTTGGGGAGGGTAATTTCAATTTGTTTTCTATTTTGTTTGTATTCGTGTTTTTTATGGTTGGATATAACATTTTTTAAAACCTATTTGAGGCCTGAATATAAACATGATCGTCCATCAATAAACGAATGAATATAACGATATAAATATGGAGAGAATAAGAGAGAGAACAAATACCATAAATATTATAAAAACATTTGAAATGATATCAAAAACTTGTCATGAATCGTTTTCTTGAAACATTTAACAGTCGTAGTGAAGTCAGTATTACAACTTCCGCGGTCTTCGCCGGCATACGTAGTGTACATGTACTGAGAGAACAACGGACGCAGTAGTTTATATTTTCATAATAAAAACGCACAAACTGAAGACGAAGGATAAGGTCAAGGACACAAGATGGAAGTACGTCATCTGTATTAACCCATGATCAACATGTGACCGACTGTAAAGTTTTTAGTTGATCCAAATAAAATGTTTTGTTAGTGTACAAGTGGGAATAAAATTTTCATTGAATTTAGAAAACATTCCAAAAAAAAAGGAGTTTAATCTGCTACAACCGTCAAGAAATAGACAGAATTTGTTAGATGTAGGACCTCGGAAACATTTATCATTATGCTCATATGAACACGTTTTTTTCGTGAGAAATGGCTTTCCCCCCATTTAACAAACAATTTCAGGTCCTTTGTGCACTTATCATACTCCTTTGTGCTCCTTTGTGCTCCTTTGTGCACAAAGGAGGTCCTTTGCGGTGTTTTTAGAGACCGTAAGCTTTGAACCCTGCCTTGAAGTAAAATGAACTTTTATAGCTATAAATGCGTGTACAAAGACATTACATTGTCTGATGTACTTCTTCCCCTATATTTACATATTTTGTTTGCTAAGTAGTATACACATTTTGTATCTTCATATCGGTGTCCATTTACCGGTATTAGTACAGGTACGTTACTACAGAAAGGAAAACTTATTTTTGTATCTATTTTTGTGGTTATGCAAACATTTTTATTTTATTGTTATCAAAATTATAAATATTGACATACTGAAAAATATTGAAACTTACATGGAACACATCTTAACAATCTTTTCTTTAGAGGAACAACAATACATCTTCCATTGGCAACATAATACGTCTTTCCCTATAAAAATATGAGATTTGCACCGTCAGGTGGGACTTATGTCATGCATATTCAGGACGAAAATAATATTTCCGTTCCTTTATACTATAAAAATATATATATAGCATAACTGAGCAATGTATACAAGACAAGTTCTATCTTGAAATACTGTGTCCAAAGCCAAGATGGGGTGATTTGTAAGCTATTTATTCCAGTTGTAGTTTGTGTGATAAACTACATCTTTCAGGCTAAATTAAAGTATGGCGTAGACAATACTGACTTTTTTCGCACTATTTTATTGATGGATTTGGGTGGTTGATGAGCGGATATACCAACCAAAATTTCACAAAAGTTGAAGTTGTATCTTTGACATTTAACTAATTTACCACTATGTGTCAAATTGTATCTTTGACATTTAACTAATTTACCACCATGTGTCAAATTGTATCTTTTGAGATTTAACTAATTTACCACCATGTGTCAAATTGGATCTTTTGAGATTTAACTAATTTACCACTATGTGTCAAATTGTATCTTTGACATTTAACTAATTTACCACTATGTGTCAAATTGTATCTTTTGAGATTTAACTAATTTACCACCATGTGTCAAATTGGATCTTTTGAGATTTAACTAATTTACCACCATGTGTCAAGTTGTATCTTTGGCAATTAGTTTTTACCATCATGTGTCAAGTTGTATCTTTGGCATTTAACTAATTTACCACCATGTGTCAAATTGTATCTTTGACATTTAACTAATTTACCACCATGTGTCAAATTGTATCATTGAGATTTAACTAATTAATCACCATGTGTCAAATTGTATCTTTGACATTTAAATAATTTACCACCATGTGTCAAGTTGTATCTTTGGCAATTAGTTTTTACCACCATGTGTCAAGTTATATCTTTGGCATTTCTTATTTTCCAGACTTTTATATTTTCCTGAGGCAAGACTTCCGAAAGCAGGCAATTTATATAAAAGCAAAATAAGTTTATTTTTGAAAATTAATTTATCGAGGAATTATTTACGATGCTTCGAAAAGTTTAAAACTTTCAAATGATTTCCAAACTTAATTTTAAAGATATTTCTTTTTCTATACTTAAGTTTCGTTAGTATCCTGTTTCGCCGGAGAACAACTGCCTAAATTCCAACATACAGAATTAATCCGACATTATTACAGACTACCGGCTGCTACAGCGAAATAGTAACTTACAGTGGCATAGCTTTGAAGAACCTGTTGCTTGAGTGGTTTGCCTTTGATGTACACTGTTCCTTCTAAGTAAACTTCCTCCTTCATCAGGTCAAACGAAAACTGATATAATCCCTTAAATTAGAGAAAGCAGAAAGCTATCTTTATTAATTCAAAACAATTTAATTTTGGATGTAACACGTCTTCTGATTGGCTGAAAGTTTTTTGTCTATAAGTTTATAGACATAATTTTATCAGGTGACTGTGATCAATGTTTTTTTCATGATGTATTCCTTAAAAATGGAATTTAGAATTAAATTATAAGGAAAGACTGTAACATTTTTTTCTGTCTATTCGAAATAACCTAAAAAATGTGGTGCACACTTTTAATTAAGTGTGCACCACATTTTTATGTTATTTCTTCATAGACAGAAAAAATATTACAGTCATCCTTAAATAAATTAAATGACGTTTGCTTTACTTTATGGCTTAGTTTACATTCTTTTCATGATGCAAAATATCAGATAGAGTATAACGTAGAAAAATATAACTATAACAAAACTGATAAGCAATTCATACTATTATTTGTTTTTGCTCAAACTGTTCAAATACAAAGTGATAGGCAGTCCTAGATTGATGTGCACTGGAAGATATTGTATTCTTCTACGTGAAAGCAAATATGAATGTTATTCATATAACATTAGTCATGGTTAGATCACAACAATTTTACAAAAATATACAAGTTTCAGTTCCCAAATATAACAAGTTTTAAAGGGCTAGCTTTGTCGCTTCTAAAAGGCTAGAAAGACATGTCATTCATATAGAAAATGAGATTTTTCAATGTTTTTGTTATTCTAATAGTATCATATTGATGAACAATGCTTAACCGTATTAATTCAAATACTTTTTTAAAAAGGTAAATTATTGACATGTCTTTCAAATACAGTTTCAAATCCGTGACTTAATCGGACATATAAGTTGTATTTAATGGCTGTCTCTACGAAAAAAATACAGGAACCGCTTCGTGGCTTTTTTGTTTTTCTTTTTTTTTATTATAAAAATGAAATTTATTTTTCCTGCAATCAGTCAACTATTGTACAAATAACAAGTACACAAATAATGTTTTGCTTTATTTGTACCTGTACAAGTAAAGTCTCCTGTTACTCCGCTATAAAAATGTGAAACTTAATTGTATAAAATACTGTTGATTCGTCATATTGTTTTACACAATCGTGTTTCATATATGTGTATATAATTTTTGAAGACAGATTTATAAAAGTTTTTCAAAACCTATTTCCGAATCCTTTATTTGATATCTATTCTTATGCATAATTGTACCATTCATTATTTTTAATAAACCAATAAATGAAAGATCTTGTTTTATGTGTAAAAATGAAATTGAAGATGAAAAACATGTATTTACTTTATGTCCTTTATATGCAGACCTTCGAAATATATTTATAGTGAAGCAGTAAAACATAATGATCAATTTTATAATTTGTCTATTGACGAAAAGTTTGTATTTTTATTCAGAAATGAAGAACTATGTCAGGTAGTTGCTAAAACCTGCTTTAATATTTTATGTAGAAGAACAAATTTCTTATTTATATATAGCTGTTAATGTATTTCAAATCTTAGATATACATAGTTTTAAAATTATGTAAAATATTGTATATAATTAATCATTTAATAGACTCTCGTAATATTTAATAGAATGCCGCTTATATATGTTTTAGTATTTAAGCTAATGATATTTTACTGTTAGTTTTAATATACGATATGTTTTATATATATGTATTTGAATGTGTAATGTTATACAAATAAAATATTGAATCTAGTTGTCAGTGATTATCAGATAGTGTTGTTTCGTATTTTTTTGCGTTTTAGATTCATTGATCGGTTGTTGTGTTTAACGCCACGTTCAGCACTCTTGTCTACAAATCGTGGCGGCAAGTTTTAATTGGTGGAAGAAGCCGGAGGGCCAGAACCTGGTATTTCTAATAAATCATGATCGAATTCGAACGCGGGGTTCGAACTCATATTTCAATTCGTTCGCTTCAATTTCAGTGTGTTCTTGTCCCATGTCTTATATACGTCAGGCCGTCAGTATTTTCGTTTGATTTTTTTTACATTTGTCATTTTGGGGCCTTTTATAGCTTGATATGCAGTATGAGTTTTGATCATGGTTGAATGCCGTACGGTGACCTATAGTTGCTAACTTCTACGGTCATTTTGGTGTCTTGTATAGATTTGTTTCATTAGCAGTCATACAATATCTTCTTCTTTTTCATACTTAATTCATTTATAGTTTGTCCTTATACTGTGCTGTTACACCACTGTCCCAGAATAGGGGAGGTTTAGGAATCATCAAACACGTGACTCTCCCAATACAGGACCCTGTATATCAGTGGTTTTCGTTTGTTGCTGTTTATCATATTTGCTTTATGTTTAATCTTTTGTACATTTTGTTCTTGTGTTGTGTTGTCGCATCACTGTCGAAGATTAGGGTGAGGATTTGACGTTCGCTTACATGTTCAACCTCGCCACATTATGTATGTGCCTATCCAAGACAGGGGCCTGTTATTCAGTGGTTGTCGTTTGTTGCTTTATATCTTATTTCTTTTTTATTTGTTGTTTTATACATAAATCAGGATTGATTTTCTCGTTTGAATTGTTTTACATTTTTTTTTATGTCGGTGACTTTTATGGTTTTCTATGCGTACGGTGTCCTATAGTTGGTATCAACCACGTTCGATGGTCTCTGGTGGATATTTGTCACATTGGCAATCATACCATATCTCCTTATTTTATATTGAAATGTCTTACTTAGAAATACAGGCGGGTGATGACAAGTTAATGAATACTGACCGTGACTGTTGTGCAGGATTTATTTGTATCCTGTTTAGTTGACAAACTCTGAATTCCTTGTAACTGGTTAGGAAAACAACAACAATCAGCGCTAGCTTGATGTACAGCAGCCAAAAATACAACGACAAAGCATAGAGTATCCATTGTCTTCCTTATTTAAGTTTCTGTAATCTATGATATGTATTTAAGTATTGTTTTCACGAAAGCTTTATATATATATATATAGGAAAAAATAGGACACGTGATAATTCGGCTTGCAGAGTCTTAAGACATAACACATGACCAATGTGTCATACTCATAAAAATTAATTTTACATGAGGACATTGATAAAAAAAAATGATGTATCTCTCACTTAAAAAATCTATTTTAGAATTTAATAACAACTGTTATCAATGTTACCGGGAAGCATGTTTGATACAAATTTCCTCTACCTCATATTGTTTGTAATCTTGTAGTCTATGGTATATGTTTTGTCGTGACTGAAAAACAATTTCTTGATTTGTTTATAAAGGCGGTGGTAGAATTTAATGAAATATAAAATTTTCAATTTAGATCAGATAGGATAATACAGAAATATAACGTTAACGATTTTATTCGGATAGGTGGTAAAATTGAATAAATTGTTTCCGCTTTAAAGGGTTACCAACGCCTACATTTAAGAATATCAAGTTTGTAGATTCTTGTTAGGTATTTTGATGGAATTTTGTATAATGAATGTTTTAGAGCGCATGGTACTGAAAAGACTTCGTTCAGTGTATGTTCACTTGTTTGTGTTAATATGACTTTTGATTGAGTTAAGCCATTTCAATTATATTTTATAGTGTGTCTTTCTATATTGTGATGTTACACTATTGTTTCAGGTTAGGGCGAAGGTTGGTACCTATGGAAACGTTTAAACCCGCTGCATTTGTTTGCACCTGTCCTAAGTCAGGAACCTGATGTTCAGTGTTTCTCGTTTCTCGTTTTTTTGTATATAGATTAGACCATTGGTTTTTCTGTTTGAATGGTTTTACACTAGCCATTTTTGGGGCCCTTTATAGCATGCTGTTTGGTGTAGCCAAGGCTCCGTGTTGAAGGCTGTAAATTAATCGGCATGCCTTTGTGTCCTATAGGTATCATGCATAGTCGCATTTGTCATCCTTGCTTATGATTATTCCGTTTGGGTTATTTTGGGAGGAAAACGAAAATTAAGACGTCCGGATATTGTTTCCGTCATTGGACGGACTTTTAAGTCATAGACAACAGTATGACTGTTTAAAATTACACATAATTTTCATAGGTACTTGTGGACAGTATATTTATTTTTGCTTTTTTCTGTATACTAAGATTATACATATACAATGTACTATAAATAAATTGTATTTGCTATTTACTATCAATTCCAAGTTTACTATCAACGGCGGTCATATATATTATATAGAGATTAAATAGTACATGTTTGTTCATAGTATACAGAAAAACGCGAAAATAATTGAAATTAATAGAAAACAAAACAAAATAACGGATTTTGAAAAACGGGGGAGGGCTAAAGAAATTGTCCTGTCCCCAAGTACCTATGACTTTTGATACCTTTCCTGAAATTCTACAGTCATAAAATCTTTTACAAAAATTCATCCTACAACAGTTTACTTACTTTCAAAGACGCTCTAAATGCCCGCAATTTCGCGTGTGTGTTCTAGTATCTATTAGATTTAAACACTGTCGACGCAAATTTATTATATGGAAAACAAAGTGTTCCGTACGGTTTAGGCTTCTGGTATGTAGCAAATCAAATGTTTATATGATATGTGATTTCAAGTTCGTCTCACGAAGCATCCTTGGCCTCATTATCATGGTTCAGCGTCGGCTTGAATTTTGTTTTTCTAGTTTTTTTTTGTCATGTGAATTTCTTACTTATTATGAGTAAAAGTATAACTTTATTCAATAAATGGATTTTCTTGCAACGTTTACATGTCTGTGAGACACTGCTCACCTAACCTCGATCTCATTTCCTGGATCATTGATAAAGGTAAAAGTCACTTGATTATGTCCGTTTCACAGATATTATAAGCAGCAGGTCAGCTATGTGTGGTGTTTGGAATGACTGTAAATGGTATGTCAGTCTGGCAGGTTTCGTCTGACTTTGACCTCATTGTATGGGTCATTGAAATGGTCAATGTTAAGTTTTTGTGTTTTTGGTCTTGGTTTTTTTCAAGTACATTGTACTATTAACGAGCGGGTCATCTATTTTGGTATATGGAATGATTGCAAGGTGCACATGCCTGTCTGGTAGGTATCACTCTGACCTTGGACTCATTTCCATGGCTCAGTGTTCAGTGTCTAGTTTTTTTGTTATGGTTTGTGTTTTCAAATACTATTAGCAGTGTATATAAATGTATGGCAGGTATCATCTTACTTTGACCTCATTTTAATGCTTCTTTGGTCAATGTTTATTTTCGTGTTTTGGTCTGTTTTTCAATTACCATAAGCAATAGGTAAACTATATTTGGTGTATGCAATAATTGTAAGATGTGCCTGCCTGTTTGACAGGATTTAGCTGACCTTGACCTCATCGATCTTTTGTTAAGTTTATGTGATACTCTTGCAGTTAAACCTCTATTTGTAAGACTTTCAACATAAAATCAATGGTCTGTAAAGCAGATGAGACATTTCAGCGCGCGCATTCTTGCTACATGTATGTACCATTTCTGTAGTATGTGAACTGATATCGAAAGAATAAACAATGTATATGTTTCATATCAATTTATTTCAAAAATAACTTACAGTGCAAACAAGTAAACATATAAATGTATAAAAATACAAACAATATAAATAGTAATATCACGCCCATCATTTTATATTATGCCGTAAAATGATAAGTAATGGTAGAAATTTCTTGCACAAATGAATGTGCAAAGCACTTCTGATGAAGGCTGAATGTGTATTATATGAGTACAACAAAAGTGAAGATTTTTCACAGACAAAAAGGAATAAATTGCACACTTTGAAATATGACAGTCACCGTAAACTTTAACGATATTTTTAACGACACCGACATCGGAACCAGCACCCGAGTCTCGTTCCCGCGTGACTTGTTGCTGCGGGACAATTATTCAACAAGATGCAGTGATGAAAACTTAACATGGGAATAAAACTGAAGTAAAGTACACAGGAATAAAGTAACGAAAAGTGAGTAACAAATGCACCATCAATTGAACAATCAACGTGTTTCTTTAAATAAGAAAGTACAATGTAATCAGGGTAAAGATAGATTAATAACAGTTAGTGCTTTAACAGCTATACTGTCAATATCCAATATATAGGTAAGGGATATAAAGTTAAGCACAAGGTGTTGCATCTTATATAGAAGACAGACATGGTTTTATCAATTCAACACTAACGAAGTTTTCAGGTTTTTTTTTCTCTTAGATTGCATATAAAAATATTACAGTATCAAATTTTAAGTTTCCTAGTATGGATCTAATAGAGAAGAAATTACGGCAATGTGTAAATTGTTCATGTTTCTTCAGTTGCTCATATATTTTTGGAAATTTTGCAAACATTCTCTGATTTATTGTTGAAACATTTCAGCTATTGAATAAATCAAGTCAATATGTTGCATTTGACTCGTTTCTAGTGTTTCTCTAGATGAACTTTCATCTGAAACTCTCGACAAAAATTTTCATATTCCAAGATGTTTAAGTAACATTGAAAGATACAAGAATGGGCCTTAAAAGAGTAATCTTGACTATGTCTAGGCTTAATTTTGTGTCATAGAGCGCTTCATGTAAGCAAAATTGTATAAAAACCTGATATTTTTCGAGTCTAGGTTTGACAATTGCTCATGGATTTCGTCAGATATAATTGTACCCTGTATATTGCTATGCTCGTATTGGTATTTAGAAAAATTGCTTCTCTGAGCCAATAGTCTCAGTGAATGGTAGATGCCTTTTTGGAATGTCTATGAACACAAGTTTGTTTTCTGAACACTATCGGTTGTAAAATTTATTTCTTTTGCTTGCATCTCTTCGTTTTTTCAAGTACCACAATGTAACAAGAACCATAGGAGGTAACGTGAAGATAAGAAATATTTGTGTGTATGTCCATGGCTGTTCGGGAAAATAATATACAAGTTCAGTATCATCAAAATGCACAGCATGTGGTGCCTTGAATTTGTCAGAATTATAAGTAAACTGAAATACTCTATTTATAATAATACTAAAGATGGACTGTTCATACCAATGACATCCTGTCGATTTCGGACGCTTGTAATGGAAACATTCGGTCCTCCTCGCGCCATCGGGAGCAATACAATCTTTTGTAAGAGCACACTTTAACCATGGTTTCATAATTCCATACCATGTTTGTTTTGTCCGGTATAACACCATGACCCGAGTATCCATCATTCCAAGGTCAACAAACGTACAACGCTTTTCGTTCAGATGTTTAAACATTTTCGGGTTTGTGTATGCGTTTATTGCAGTGAAAATCGGATATTCGTAAAGGAAAAAACTTCGATCAGCTCTGTATTTAAACTGGTTCAATTCCTGAACATTATTTATAGAAGCTGACGGGTCAATCCACATTGCAGAACCAAATTCTTCAAGTATCATCTGAAAGTAGAAAAACAATATTGCATTTATTATATAATAGATAAATCTATCAAAAATATACAGAATTCTTACTATTGTATCGCCTAACAGCATCCAACATTTGCTAGTGACATATGCAGATCACGTCAGTCTTTGTCAGTGTCACAACTAGTGGCAAATGCAGAGCACGTCAGTCTTCGTCAGTGTCACACCTAGTGGCACATGCAGAGCACGTCGTTCTCCGTCAGTGTCACACCTAGTGAAACATGCAGAGCACGTCAGTCTTCGTCAGTGTCACACCTAGTGGCACATGCAGAGCACGTCAGTCTCTGTCAGTGTCACACCTAGAGACAAATGCAGAGCACGTCAGTCTTCGTCAGTGTCACACCTAGTGACACATGCAGAGCACGTCAGTCTTCGTCAGTGTCACACCTAGTGGCACATGCAGAGCACGTCAGTCTCCGTCAGTGTCACACCTAGTGGCACATGCAGAGCACGTCAGTCTCCGTCAGTGTCACACCTAGAGACAAATGCAGAGCACGTCAGTCGTCGTCAGTGTCACACCTAGTGACAAATGCAGAGCACGTCAGTCTTCGTCAGTGTCACACCTATTGACACATGCAGATCACGTGAGTCTTCGTCAGTGTCACACCTAGTGGCACATGCAGAGCACGTCAGTCTTCGTCAGTGTCACACCTAGTGGCAGATGCGGATCACGTCAGTCTTCGTCAGTGATACACCTAGTGGCACATGCAGATCACGTCAATCGTCGTTAGTGTCACACCTAGTGGCACATGCAGAGCACGTCAGTCTTCGTCAGTGTCACACCTAGTGGCAGATGCGGATCACGTCAGTCTTCGTCAGTGTTACACGTAGTGATACATGCAGATCACGTCAGTTTTCGTCAGTGATACACCTAGTGGCACATGCAGATCACGTCAATCGTCGTTAGTGTCACACCTAGTGGCACATGCAGAGCACGTCAGTCTTCGTCAGTGTCACACCTACTGACACATGCAGAGCACGTCAATCGTCGTTTGTGTCACATCTAGCGACACATGCAGATCACGTCAGTTTTCGTCAGTTATTCACCTAGTGGCACATGCAGATCACTTCAATCGTCGGCGTCAGTGTCACACCTAGCGACACATGCAGATCACGTCAGTTGTCAGTGTCACACTTAGTGGCACATGCAGATCACGTCAGTCCTCGTCAGTGTCACACCTAGTGGCACATGCAGATCTCGTCAGTCTTCGTCAGTGTCACACCTAGTGACATATGCAGAGCACATCAATCGTCGTTTGTGTCACATCTAGCGACACATGCAGATCACGTCAGTCGTTGTCAGTGTCACACCTAGTGGCACATGCAGATCACGTCAGTCTTTGTCAGTGTCTCATCTAGTGACACATGCAGATCACGTCAGTCTTCGTCAGTGTGACACCTAGTGACACATGCAGAGCACGTCAGTCTTTGTCAGTTTCACACCTAGTGACACATGCAGATCACGTCAGTCTTCGTCAGTGTGACACCTAGTGACACATGCAGAGAACGCCAGTCTTTGTCAGTTTCACACCTAGTGACACATGCAGAGCACGTCAGTCTTCGTCAGTGTCACACCTAGTGACAAATGCAGAGCACGTCAGTCTTCGTCAGTGTCACACCTGGTGACACATTCAGATCCCTTCAATCGTCGTTAGCTTCACACTATGCTAATTCATTATTCCTTGGAAAGTATGAGGCGCGGATTAAATCAAAATTATTGTACATGTATTTTAAGAGATCCTGAAATATTTCAGGACCTACCTAATTCGATTTCTCGACATCCTGAAATACAATCATTTTGACTAAATCCGCGCCTCGTAGAAAACAGCTTTAAGAAGACTCATACATTATGTTTATTATTTTGTTGTTTTTTTTATAATCACACATTTATGATAAATTTTTCGCACGTTTTGAGCCAATAATATGTAACTGCATCATAAACTATTGTGGTGGTCATCTTAAACTATAGATCTTTCCCAAAAAACACAAAGTACGTTGCTTGTGCTCTTTTACTATAGAAAAAAAGTTATCTTAACTCTGGAAATTATGAAAATGCCATGTCTTTTGTTGGAACAATATTATTTCTCATTAACAGGAAAAGGATGACAAATTTTCAACCTTTAAAATTGAAAAGAAACATCGCAACAAGACAATTGAAACTTCATAAATGATTTCATAAATAACAAACAAAATAAGTGGAGACATATTTTGAAAATGAGACCTATAAACAAGCATAACATCCTCACATCGTCTTCTTTGCTTCTAATAAAAAATCATACCTGTAAGATAATAGGCATCCATGCTCTTATATTCATGTCAGACACGTGGTATGGGTAAACGGACCATTCAAATGTACGGAATTCACAATTACAGTGTTTCTTTATCTGAAATTTAAGGGGAAAAATGATAAGATTAAATGAAATTAGTTTAACATATTTATATAGAAAACATATACTATGTCGGTTACTCTATTTTACTCACATTCGTACGTGTAAGACTAATGCAGATTTACTAAACCAAGATTTTGTCTGTTGTTTAATTGTTACAATATAGACTGATTAATTGATGCTGCTCATTGTCTAGCGGCAAGTATTACATAATCAGGTCAGTAACATGTTACTGAGATATGGCATGCATTGCTGTGTACAAGATCGACGCATAGAGTCGGATTTTGATCGTGCAAGCTACAAAATAACAAACAGTCAAGCGAAAGGCATGCCCCCTAGCCGGACAACAATCATTACTTTTACTCATGAATGTCACGTGCTAAGCGGATGAAGGCCAATTTCAAATTATTGCACTCACACCCACGAAGTCCAACTACACGCTACCAGTGCCTCCATGTTTGAACTACTCTGTACATCATTGGTTTCCCTAATGCAATCATGAATTTCCTAAATATGCTGTTTTTAGTTCCATGTGTTCCATCTTATAATTTTTATATATTGTTCCGTTTGTATTTAATGAGAGTTTCTTTTTCACTCATATTAAGGCAACGAAATGTTAAATGATTTTTTAGATTAGTTCCATGTGTCACGTATGTATAATAATAAAAATGTGTTTCATTTACTGTTACCGAACAATTATACATTGTATATGCGCATGCGTATTAATTTTCCATTTCCTTAAAGATTGTTTAGCTTACCAGTGCTGCTTCTTTTGAATACAGTCCAAGATCATAGACTATCAAGTTCAGCTTTATGTTTTTCTTAGGCGCTATAGAAGCTGTTTGTTCTATAATTCTCTGGAGGTTGTAAAAGTCTGCTGACGTCACAGCCGTTACAATTGGCGGGATTTCTTTCAGTTCTACAGGTGCTTCGTCGCCGATAAATGAATCAGAAAACTTTTGAGACCCAATTCGTTTTACATACGGCGTTGATTCTCCACCTGTGTAATTTTCTACCACTATAATGTTTTCGTCCACGGTTGCACCAAACTTGACCGGGCAATTTGGAACAAGGTCAGTATCATCCAATCGACGATGGACGCCAAAATACTGAATGCCCTTGAAACTAGCATAAGTAAGCAACGTCCAGAAAGCCATAGAAGCTAATAACATGTATGGACTAAGTGGAAACTGTCTGAACCCCTTTGATATCTGATCCAGTTGTTGCTGCCTCTTATCTCCCCCTGCTGGTTGACCTTGTCGATTCATCTGAAATAGTAAAGAAATATTTAGCATTGTTTAGTGATTCTCAATTAAATGATTATAAAATGGCGATTTTTTTTTAAATCAAGTGAAAAAATACTTCAAGAATCTTTAACACGATTAGCAATCTATAAAATTGCACGTTGTCTTCAGAGAAATGGGACACAATATGCGATCTCTTCGACTGTTGCGCGGAAAGTATACAGATAACCGATGAAGAAGTCCCCACCGAGAATTGAATTCGGACGATATCTACATATAGGACCTTTAAGGTGCAAGAAGCGCGGCATTCTCTAAAATCAACTTTCTATGGCCAGTGGCCAGTCTTTCAGAATAATACAGCTCTCAACAAAGTATGTCATTTCCTTATTGCAACTTGCATAGGAATAGTTAGTAGTTTCTTTATGGGTTAGAGTATCTGAAAACTAATGATTTTTCAATGACATTCGATGCCCATAATAGGTTCTATACATCTATAAAAGATTAAGATAGATCGTGGCTGTTTAAAGATCAGTGAAAGATATTAAAATCACTTTAATGACGAGTTTATGAGGATGCTTATGGATTTTTTAACACAAGACATCTGTATATAAGGTATGAGGCATCCCTTATCCCTAAATATTCCTGCATTAAATTTGTTGTGTTTAAAATTTGCAGTGGCACGCAATGGCTAAATAGCGGTTGAGGAACAATTGACTGAACACGAATCCACGGCTAACCGAGGCTCGTTGTATCTTTCGAGTATGATTAAAGCAGCCGAGGATCCGACCCAAGCTGATTTTTTTACGTTTGAACGGAAAAAAAATATACATATACAGTTTTAAATACCTTTGTTCATTCATATTGACGGCCATAACGAAGATGGCAGTCAACGGACAACGTTTTTTTATGCCTGCAGATTGACGGTTTGTGAATCAATTTGGAATGACAAATTATACATATGATTCAATTCTTGATAAATATTCCTAGCACAAAAAGAGGATTCTCAAATTTTGTGACTTTTTTGTACAAGCTCATTTAGAGCATTGAACACCGCTAATCAAATTTAGGATAACAGAACACGCCTTATTTAATTTCGTTCAAATCCTAGAACAGAGGGAAGTTCTTAAAATGTGTGATTTACTTTATTAATATCATTTTTCATCGAAAATTTGACACTGGGAATCAGTTTTGATATCGATAATACACCTACATGTACATGTGAATTGTTGCTGAAAGTTAGCACATAAGATGAAAATCATAAATTATTATTTTCTAAATAAAACCACGTTTTAACCACATTTTCCTACAATTTTCACATTAAAATGAGACCATAATCAATACGGAATAGCATATTTTATTTGATCATCCATAGAAATTTTAACTAAAAGATATTGTTCTCAAAATTTGTTAGTTTTTTTAACCAAAAAGATTTTTATCACAATCTTCCCATATTTTTTGTTATAGAAATTAACAAGAACATTCCCCTGAAAGATATACAGAATGTGCATAAAAAGGATTCATATTATATGGGACAATCTTGACTTGTAATACTGCATAAATATATTGACGGACGATCTGACAGATAGTAATTGTTTTAAGGCAATACGGACTATAAAAAAAACCCAGATCAAATGACACTGAACCATTATAACCCAACATAAGTGAACTAGAAAAGGACATGGACGTCTTGTCTTTAGCTGCACAAAAAATTTACAATAAATTATCATATAAGTACAGAATTATTTGCACACTTGCAATTAATTTTGCAACAAAAGCGACACCGGATCTTTAGAGATCCTTACCACGATCACGAAAATAGGTACCAGATGTTTCACGAAATAAATTTCAAATATATAAATATTCCAATTTTCCCCTACAAAATTTACTACAAAATAATAGAAAGAGCCATTTGAATCATTAAATTTAAAACGACATTGTTCAGAGAATGCTACTTTATGTGTATTGCTGTGTTTGTTTTTTCTACATTGACTAGAGGTATAGGGGAGGGTTGAGATCTCACTAAACATGTTTAACCCCTCCGCATCTTTGCGCATGTCCCAGGAGCATCTGGCCTTTGTTGGATCTTGTATGATTTTAACTTTTAACATTTATATGTTTTTGAGTTTAGTATGACGTCCATTTTACTGAACTAGTTCACATTTTTGTTTATGGGCCAGCTGAAGCCCGCCTCCGAGTGCAGGATTTTCTTGCTATGTTGAAGACCCATTGGTGGCCTTTGGCAGCTTTCTGCTCTTTGGTCGGGTTGTTGTCTCTTTGACACATTCCCCATTTCTATTCTCAATTTTATTTAGTCATGAATACATTTAATAAAAAACAAATCATCTTTGTCTACACTATAATGCCATTGAAATGTGTTTATTTATATTTTGTGAAAACGGTGAACGTTTATACTCTGATTTTTCGCAGATACTGATAATAACGTTGAACAGACAGTTTTACCCCCCACCCCCCCCCCCCCCCCCCCCCGATTTCTCAAAAAAAAAAACAATATATTTTTGTTATATATTGACCATGCATGCGTCTTTCTCAATAAGCTTAAGGTTTCCTTCACGATCCGATACCAGATCTTTTACTAATTTATCGCAATACTATCGTTACTTATTTTCACAATCATTTTCTCGATATACCAAATGACAACAGTTGGACAGCTGAACGGACGACCATTTGTGTATATATATGGCAATGCAGAGTGGACAAGATAATACATCATCAGACAATAAAGATTTGCAATGAAGCATGCTAACATGTATATAAGATGTGCTGCAATAAAACTAGACAATAATGGATTACTTTTACAAATTGTGGCTTGGATGGAGAGTTGTCTCATTGGCATTCATACCACATCTTCTTATATCTATATAAAGCAGTATTTAAGAGAAACTTGTTAGTCACTCTTCAACCCCATGGGACCGGCAAATGAAACACTGAGGCGTTAGAACTTTCCCTGTACGATTCACTCACTAATGCCAAATTGATGACAAAAATGCTACATTTATCTATATTTTTCGCAATTCAGTGATCTATTCATTAGAAACTATCCCTTCAAACAAAGTTCTTTCTACATCTATTTCAGTAACAGTTTCACATTATGCTTAGTAATGATGCAGTTAGTGAAAACAATAAGGCATGCATATATATTTATCAGAAAAATTCAAAACCTACCGTGAACGCTTCTGTTCTCTTGTCAAATGATTCAATCGTCTACTTAATTATTTAATTAATCGTGAGATCATGTCAACCCAAGCCGGTACAAGTTGTCACACGTGCTTCTCAATTAAACTTCCTATTTACCTGTCAGGTAGCAACAAGGTAAACAATAGGCCACCTGGTGGATAGGTATCGACTGTTTTAAGGGGAAGTAATTATACCTAAAAGATCATCAAGAATTTGTGGGTAGACGAAAATCGTTCGTATAACAATCACATTATGTTTTGATGTCCGAAAGTAGACAGATCGGTCAAATTTTGGCTTCATTGACTAGCTGATTTGTTTGGGTTTAATTGGAACTATAACACCATGATAAGACTAATTATTTTTTTTTTTGGGGGGGGGGGGGGGGATATGTTTATAGAAAGATACACAACTGTTTAACTTGACGTGTTCGTGCATAAACTTATTTCGGAATTTCCCTTCGAAATAAGACTTGTTTAAAGGAATAAAACTCATAATCTGTAAATTTCCTGCCTTTTCATGGGAAAAGGGTATTTAAATATGAGGTATCTGCTCTTCATTGTGAAATATAAAAACTCGCTATTCATACCGCTCATATCTTTTGTTTTCATTGCTAAAAATAATTCAGAAAAGAAATAAAATTTTTGAAAAAAAAAACATTTTATTATACAGGATATAATTATATCTGAAATGTAAAGAAAATATTACTCACTGAACGGCCGTTCATCTATTGGGGCATGTTTTTCTTCATTTTTTTTATACTTCACTGACCATTGTTTTCAATTACATGCAGGAACAATAAATTATTTAAGGACATACATGTTGTATTGATTTTTTTTTAACAATCCCTACCCTTCTGAAACAAATATTTGTTATTTTTAAGAAATTTAGCCGTGCTCCAATAAACGTGAATGACCGGCGCCAATAGAAAATAGAACTTAATTGAAATAATTTTATTAACAGTTATATACAAAGAGAGAATAATAAATAAGTAACAATAGGGTGGGCGTTTTTACATTAAAACCAATATACGGAGTATGTCGTGTTATCAGTGTCCGTCATTCGTCGGACTTTTTCTTGTTTGGCGTTAGATGATTTTGTGCCATCCGAATATTTCCCCGCCCCCTCTATTTATTGAAATTTGAGGAACTTGTATTTTTGTACATCATGTTGTTTCTGAAACCCTATTACGATGTGTCTTTTATTCTATTAGTTGAACATCACATTATATAAAGATGTGTGTTAGACCGACAACATTGGCATAATTTTCAGATCTTTTATTTGCGTATTTTAAGCACTAGAAAGTTTTGGGTCAAAAGTCTACATAATTATTGGCTTTATATAAAAATTTGCTCTATTTAAACTTCATAGCAAATAATACACGGATATAAAGTAAAATAATTTCCTAAAACACTGCAAAAAGTTTTATTCTGATTGGTCAATGATATCGTCATAAAGTGTTTTAAAATGGACCTTGGTATAGCAAACATTGAATTCCCTCACACAATCTCTTTTCACACGCACACTTATATATAAAGAATGACGAATGTCTGAATGACTTTTAATTGAATTTAAAAATAAAATATATTGAACCATGTATTTATTTATAGAATGACGAATGTTTATTTATAAATTGATACATTCGATTCTACTCAGGCTGTGGTTATTCTATTTCTCCACTAATTTGTTGAAGAAGAAAAAAAACAACGTTAAGACAATTATAATCAATTATCTAAATTATATTAAAGGACAGTCAAATAATAAAAATATATAGATAACATAAATGTTTTAAATTTTGAAAACACATGTACGGAAACAAGGAAGAGGACGTAATAGTCACTTAGTTATCTCTGTTTAAAGTTCAATCTGAATATCTGTCTATAAATTGTGTTCGATAAAAAGATAGACGTCTATATATAAGACTATTTTCTTATTTAATGGCAAAAACAGAACAACCCAGAAAGAACGGTAAACTTTAGTTTCTTATTTTCTTCAGTTCTCTTCGTCATATAATTTTTGAGGACAATTATTTATTTTCTAGAATATTTCGTAACGTATAGTTTCTAACTGACCAGTGGCTAACTAACTAACTAACTAACTATTTATTGTAAAGCAACGCTCAGACACATATATGTGTAACATGAGGTAAATATACAATAATAAACATGATTTATAATACAATGGTAACATTTAAAAACAAAAACAAATAAAAATTCACACAAATCAATATAAGAGCCTAGTGTAAAAGAGGGGGGAGGACACTGACTGATTCCTAGATTGTCCCCAACTCAGTCCACTATTACGCCACTGTTTGTTCTCTGATCAATCCCTGTTTTATAAATCAACAACTGAAACTTTTTTATCATTCAAGTATAAATTTCTTATACATGAAACAACCTATTGGATACCATTGTGGCTGAACTTGATATTAAATTCGCTACCACCATTTATTCAGTTTGGCAATTAAAATAATTCCTTTATACAAATGTTAAGACTAATTGTTACAATTAAATTCGTATAAACGTTCTTTTTTGTTTATATCCTAACATAAATTCTCCAACCAGTAAAAATGTAGATACTATTTTTGTTAAAAAAAAATATAAAAAAATATGTTCGTTTTAATAATGGTATCTTTCTTGTTCGTTTTTTCTTCGTTTTTCAATTTTCTTTGTTTGTCTGTTTGCTGTTGTTGTTTGTGGAGGAATATAATTTGATATTGCTTTCAGTTACAGTAATCATTCCTCAAAACCCATCATTTAGTATCATTTAGCTCAAATAGTATATTTATACAGGTATTATAGAGGGCTATCTGTGTCCTTACTGTAATTGTACCTTATTCCATCTATTGACATTTTACTGATTGTGATTAAAATGGAGAGGATTAAAAACTACCTTAACCAAGCAACATACATATTTCTTGTGACTGTCCCAAGTCAGTCAGGTGGCATATTAATAATTTTTCTATTAAGTAACCTTCTACTGCTTTTCTCGTTTATGTATTGCTGACATATTATAATTGATAGTTTCTATGAAAGATACAGAGTTTAGTATATCATAGAGACATTTGTCTAATAGTTGACCGCAACATAGCTTTTATTGCTCTTTGGTAGTGTTTGTCGATGGGGTTCTGTATCATTTGATAGAAAAAGGAAATGGGGTTTCCATAAATGACAAAAAATCAGTATATGCACAGCCAAAAACCCCAAAAGCAAAGGAACAACGTTTTTATTGCTGTTCTCCATCATTTGTATATACTTATTATCTCTTTTTTTTTTAGCACAATAGTGTTGAAATTGGCGTTAAACACCAATCAATCAATATCTTTTTTAGCACGATAGAAAATATTTAGTGTTACCATATCCATTTAAGACTCGTGCAAATACACATTGTTAGAATTGCAAACAAACCGTTATAAATTACCTATTAACCCAAATAAAACAAAATAGACAATTTTAAGTGGTGAATTAATACAATTTGTAACAATTTTGACATTAACCCGATTCTTTTTTCTTTTATCTTTCTATTTCTATAGATGATAACTGATCGACATAGAACAGAGCTAGCTCAAAACGGTTTCGTCGTTATTGAGAAAGTTTTGACAGAGGAAGAGTGCGAGGAAAGAATTGGAGAATACAAAACGTGGCTACAGCAATTCCGAGGTCCAGGCGAGTGGCCCAAATCTTTAAATTCCCTAATTCGGGTTTATAATGCAGGAAACTTAGAAACAACATGGAAGGTTCGGTTAGCTGTGAAACCAGTTTATGAGGAGTTATGGAAAACACAAAGATTATTATCAAGTATTGAAACGGTGGCAATTGGACGACCACCAGAGGAAGGAGAGGAGGAATTTGTAGTTGAGGGCCAACATTGGCTCCACTGTGATCAAGGTGCAGAGAAATTTGGACTTCATGCTTATCAGGGAGGCGTTTACCTGGAGGCGGCTGAGGAAGATGATTGGACATTCTGTGTTCTAAAAAAGTCCCACAAGTTTCTAGATGACTTTTACGCCAATGATAAGAAAGTTGCCGAACAGAGTGCTCAAGAGCATTTCTTTTCTATTCGTGAGAATGATTTAGAGTGGTTTAAATCTAAAGGATGTGAACTATTAAGAGTTGCCGTTCCTAAAGATGGCATGGTTCTGTGGGATTCTAGACTGATCCATGCCAATGCAAGGCCAGTACAGGGTAGAAAAAATCCCGGTCGTTGGCGATTTACGGTTTTAGTGTGTATGACACCAGCTTGCTGGGCTAATAAAAGCGATTTAGAGAAAAGAAAAGCTGTGTACAAAAGTACTGCCATGCTTTCCCATTGGCCATCACAAGACATCCTTGTTGATATTCAAGGATCAAGTGCACCGCATGAACAAACCAAAAACATAGTATTCCCAGAAAAACTTTCTGGTATTGCAACCACAGCTGAAGTTCAAGAGTTGTGTGGATATAAAGAGTATGATTTCAGCAACGTAAAATCAAATCCAGAAATAAGTTATCCAAAATGGAAACAAATTTTACACAATCCTCCTTCAGAATATTTCAACGACCAAAGATTAGAACCAAGCGAGTCTACACACGACTGGGCGTCTTACTGCATTTTACTTTAATGATGGTTGATAATATGGTAATACAATTGTTAAATACCTTAACTTTGATTAAGTCTAGAAGAGCCAAGTTAATTAATTAGATATGAGTGGCTTTCCAGATCTTAGCCGATCACGAAGAACGAAAATAACCCACCAGGCCCCTCAATAATAATAATGTGTACAGTGTAATTATACTTGCAATTGCTCTGCTCATTGTGGGCGCCATAATTAACAAATAAAACTATTCTATTGATTGTTCTGTATAATGTATGTTAAATGTTGAATTGTAAGCAACAAATATAGATCTTGTTTAATTTATATGCAAGGCAATTCCTCCGTTGTTCGAAATGCCCCTCAAAGGATGCGAGAATAAAGTAGAATCTTAGTACACTCTCAATTAGGATTATTGGAGATGTCTCCCTTACTTGTATATAATCCACCACAGGACAGTCCACATCCCGACACCAAGGAAGTGTTAGTACACCGGGAATTCTGTCAAAATATTGCATACTGTTACCAGAGATATGTCTCTGACCCAACATCAAGGGAGTGTTAGTACATTAGGAATTCTGTCACAATAGTGCATACTGTAAGCAGACATATGTCTCTGACCCAACATCAAGGGAGTGTTAGTACGTCGGGAATTATGTCACAATAGTGCATACTGTTACCAGAGATATGTCTCTGACCTAACATCAATGGAGTGTTAGTACGTCGGGAATTATGTAACACTAGTGTATACTGTAACCAGAGATATGTCTCTGAACAAACATCAAGGGAGTGTTAGTACACCTGGAATTGTGTAACAATAGTGCATACTGTTACCAGGGATATGTCTCTGACCCAACATCAAGGGAGTGTTAGTACACCGGGAATTCTGTCACAGTAGTGCATACTGTTACCACGGATATGTCTCTACCGGTACTTGACAGTTTGTTTATTTCATTTATTTATAAATAGTAAATTCCATTTATCCTATCTAATTGACAAAGTCTCAATTTAAAACATTTCATCTTACGTCTATGAAAATCATTGATAAAGTAGTCGATTGATGCACGCGTGACTTGTCTTGATCGCTGAAAAGCGCAATTTTATCTTCTAAGCTTAAAACAAAACTGTGTGTTAAAGAAATACCACAAATGTTTAGATGAATTCTACGCTAATGATGTCCCTCGAACTGTTGGTATTGTATGTTAATCTTGCGTTTTCCGTGAAGTGTGTTGAGAGCAATATGTGGTCTTTTCTTTTCTTTTTTTCTATTGCCTGTTTGTATCAGATTACAACAGTACAACAATAGCGAGTATCACAAAGATAAGAAAATTTGAAAATTATTGCTTTCTTTATGAAATTTTACAGCAATGTGTCTGTCATGTGTTGTGTGTCGTCTTACTTTGGGAAGAATAATGATGGCTGCAGTTGCCAAGGAAACAGTTAAGGTTGATATCCACTATTGGTTTCAATTAGAATAATAGTTGTTGTTTTTCTAAAAATAAAGATGAATCTCCATGATTTGTAAGTTTCGACTTCGTGGGACCATTTAAATGTATGTAAGTACATAGTTCAAAAGCTATGACTAAAGCGAATTACAGTAGTAGACTGTTGATTAATGTGTGGATAAGATTTATGTGACTAACTGTATGTATTAGTGAACCAACATTGATCAAATAGTGCATTGGGATTATGATAAATGTATGTGACTTAACTGTATGTATTAGTTATCTGATCCATAAAACAGTTCAGTATGATTATGATAAATCAAAAAGATGAATACTACTGATTAGATGATAAGTATTGAAAAGGGATGACTTGCATTAGTATGAAGTGTAAATTAATGCCTATTACCGGCGAGGGTTGGCGCCTTCAAACGAGTTTAACCCCGCCACATTCTGTATGTGCCTGTCCCAGTCCAGAGCCTGTAAATCAGTGGTTGTCGTTTGTTGCTGTGTAACATATTTGTTTTTCGTTCATTATTTTGTACATACATTAGGCCGTTAGTTTTTCCCGTTTGAATTCTTTTGCATTTCATTTCGGGGCCTTTTATAGCTGACTATGCGATATGGGCTTTGCTCATTGTTGAAGGCTGTACGGTGACCTATAGTTGTTAATTTCTGTGTTATTTGGTCTTTTGTGAAGAGTTGTCTCATTGGCAATCATACCACATCTTATTTTTATGTGAGTAAGAATGAACGAATTTAAAATGAATCCAAATGATTGATGTAAGTGAATGCAAGAATACTAATGATTGACACGATCGAAATGAAAATGAATGCTTAATATTTATGTGCAGTAATATATACTGCTATGATGTGTTTGAAGTATAAAATAAGTTTCAATTCTAAATTCTCGTCCTGAACATGCATGAAATAATTGCCACTGGACGTTTAGCAACAAACACTCATCTATCATTCAAACAAAGAATTTAGGGAATATAGTCTGACCTAGTTTTTTTTTCTAGTGCACGCCATCGCAGATTTATACTGGTTCTATCGATTTGTTCGATTATTGGCTTTATTATCATTATTTTTGCAGTAGTATTAGTATTGTAATGTTTGCTGATTGTGAATTGGTTAAACGTTAAAAAAATAATCAAACTTTAAATCAAGTGTTTGCTGTCTGTGAATCGGTTAAACGCATAGAAAAAATAATCGAACTTTAAATCAAGTGTTATTTTGTAATTTGATTATTTCTTAAATATTTTGTTTTACTTCAAGGTTAGGGAGCTACCATTTGATTTTTAGGGGGGGGGGGGGGGGGGGGCTAGGATGAAATTTGAAAAAAATAGGCAGGACAGGAGTTTGGAGCAAAAAAAAAGTCAGGATGACAATTTAGATAAAAAAAGTCAGGATAAACTTTAAAAAAAAGGCAGGACCGAATAGAGTGAAAAATAAAAAGGCAGGACAGAGATTACAACAACAAAAAATGCAGGACAAAATCCCCCCCCCCCCCCATAAAAATCAAATGGTAGCTCCCTTACCATCCCAGCTTTTATAAACATAAATATAGTGTTATATTTCAGATGAATCAATTTAAATAACTTTATCCAATCAAAATGTGTAAGGTTCAATAACAATGACCAGTCCAAATCATTACATTTAATAAGGGTAAATAGTGGAGTGACGTACAAATCAAGAAAAAGGTGCTTATTTTAAGACGTTAATGGACCGGCATAACTGCAGGTTGAAAATGATTTTTTGGCAAAGCCAATACATTAATCTTACTTTTTTACCCGGGCGTAGCCATTTCCTACGGTGCAGTTTTTCATAAAATGGAAATAAAAAGACATGTTGATTTTTTCATTCAAAATGCAACTCGACAAACTGTTTTACATGAATTGAAAACAAAGTACGAATCAGCCACACTGCAGTGTCAGTTTGAAAAAAAAACATTAGGCTTAATAAATCGTTATACGGAAACAAAAAGGGCAGGGAGAATCAAATGTTGGGTTTAGTATTTCACTGATTTCGGAAGCCTTTAAAGCAGCTAACCATGTAAAATATGGATAAATACTGACAGAAATTGAAACTGAAATTGAGACACTAACTAGCAATGAAGACCAAACATTACATGCAGACGCTTCAATAGTTCCAACTTAAACGAGGTTCTTAGAAACAACAAATGGGACTTACCCAACAACATCTGAAATATCTAAAAGTCTACATAATCATTGGCTTTATATGAAAATTTGCTCTATTCAAACTTCATTGCAAAACACACACAGATACAAAGTAAAAGCATTTCCTAAAACCCCGCAAAAAGTTTATTCTGATTGGTTCAGTGGTATCGGCATCAAGTGTTTTAAAATGGACCATATAATTCCCTCACACTATCTCTTTTCACACTTATATATAGAGAATGACGAATGTCTGGATGACTTTAATTGAATTTAAAAATATATGTATTGAACCATGTATTTATTTATAGAATGACGAATGTCTGGATAATGTTTATTTATAACTTGATACACGGGTCGATTCTATCCAGTCTTCGGTTATTCTATTATTCCAGATGAAAAACAACATATTGAAGAAAATTATAATCATTCGTCTAAGGTAAGATATTGCATATATTATAGGACAGTCAAATAATAAATATATATAAATAACATAAACATGATAAATGGTTTAATTTTGAAAACACCATTTACGGAAACAAAACTTTAGTATTAAGGAAGAGGAAGTAATTGTCACGTGATTATCTCTTTTAAAATTTCAATCTGAATGCTATCTAACTAATAATAGACGTCTATATATAAGGCTATTTATATTAAATGTCAAAAACAGAATATTACAACCCAGAAAGATCATTCACGGTAAACTTTAGTTTCTCATTTTTTTTTAGTTCTCGTCGTCATATAATTTGGAACCCCAATTATTTATTTTGCTAGCTTTGTTTTATAAAGTATAGTTTCTTATTGACCAGTGGCGTAAGAGCCTAGAGTAAAGGAGGGGAAGGACACTAACTAATAATTATTTAACTGTTCCCCCCACTCAGTCCACTACCACGCCACTGTTTGCTATCCCTGATCGATCACTGTCCTAAACTTTTTTTTATTCAAGTATAAATTTCGTATACATGATACAACCTATTGGATACCATTGTGGTTGAACTTGATACTAATATCACAACCGCCAATCTATTGGATACCATTGTGGCTGAACTTGATACTGATATCACAACCGCCAATCTATTGGATACCATTGTGGCTGAACTTGATATTAATATCGCAATCACCAACCTTTTGGATACCATTGTGGCTGAACTTGATACTAATATCACAACCGCCAATCTATTGGATACCATTGTGGCTGAACATGATATTAATATCACAACCACCAATCTATTCAGTCTAGTAATTAAAATAATTCCTTAATAAAATGTTAAGACTACTTGTTACAATTTAAGTTCGTATAAACGTTTTTTGTTTATTACCTTACCATACATTTTCCAAACAGTAATAATGTAGATATTAGTTTTGTTAAAAATCTATATTTTTGTATGCTCGTTTAATGGTATCTTTCTTCGTTTTTCTATTTTCTTCGTTTGCCTATTTGCTTTGTTTGTCTATTTTCTTTGTTTGTCTATTTTCCTTGTTTGTCTGTTTGCTGTTGTTGCTTGTGAAGATCTATTCGAGAAAGAAGTCGTTATATTAATTGGCGTAAGATGGTGGTCCTTCATAAAATTTATATAGATACCAATATTAATGCTTATTTAAAGATGACTGACCCAAGGACCATATCAAGGATAGATATATCGGAGTGACTATTTGTCCCACTTTGAAATTTCACGACATTATAATTAATACATATGTATTATATGGTTTTGATTAATTGCTTGAAAAGAAATAATTTTTGAAAGCCTTTCTCTGTAATATTATTTACAAAGCAAACATGTTTAGGAATTGTGCTTTAACTCTATACATCAAAATTTATAGAGTTTTAATTTGCGATTTGAAATGAGATTATTATGTTAAAGCGATTTTATAACATTTATTATTTTCTGTATTACAATGTTGTACAGTTTTTCTTTTGGACATTGCACAGTCACGTTGAGTTTTCGTACACTCTTCATGACGTTACTTTATGAAATCTACACCAAAGTATAGCCGTTAAAGATCGTTAGAGTCCAGGACAGCATATTATCCGTATCATCAAAAGAGGGACGAAAGATACCAGAGGGACGAAAGATACCAGAGGGACAGTCAAACTCATAGATCGAAAACAAACTGACAACGCCATGGCCAAAAATAAAAAGACAAACAGACAAATAATAGTACAGATGACACAACATAGAAAACTAAAGACTAAGCAACACGAACCCCACCAAGTTATGTAATATGATGTTGTTGCTTTCAGTTACAGTGAGCATTAATCAATACCCTGTCATTTAGTATCATTTTGCTCAAGTACAAAATTTATACAGGTATTATAGAGGGTTATCTGTTTCCTTACTTTAATTGTACCTTATTCTATCTATTGACATTTTATTTATTGTGATTAAAATGGAGAGGATTAAAAAATAGCTTAATCAAGCAACATGCATATTTCTTGTGACTGTCCCAAGTTTGTCAGGTGGCATATTAACAATTGTCTTAAGTAACCTTCTTCTGATTTTCTTGTTTATGTATTGATGACATATTATTGATAGTTTCTATGAAAGATACAGAGCCTGACATATCATAGAGACACTTGTCTATTGTTGAAGACTCATGGTTGACCGCAAAATAGCTTTTATTGCTTTTTGGTAGTGGTTGTCGATGGGGTTCTGTATCATTTAATAGAAAAAAAGAAATGGGGTTTCCATCAATGACAAAAAATCAGTATATGCACAGCCAAAAACCCAACAAGCAAAGGAACAACGTTTTCATTGTTTTTCTCCAGCATTTGTATATATTTATTATCTCTTTTTATGCACGTTACAAAATTATTTAGTGTTACCATATTCATTTAGGACTCGTGCAAATACACATTGTTGGAATTGCAAACCATTATTAATTACCTACTAACCCAAATAAAACAAAATCGACAATGTTAAGTGGTGAATTAATACAATTTGTAACAATTTTGACATTAATCCGATTCTTTTTTCCTTTATCTTTCGATTTCTATAGATGATAACTGATCGACATAGAACAGAGCTAGCTCAAAACGGTTTCGTTGTTATTGAGAACGTTTTGACAGAGGAAGAGTGCGAGGAAAGAATTGAAGAATACAAAATATGGCTACAGCAATTCCGAGGTCCAGGCGAGTGGCCCAAATCTTTAAATTCCCTAATTAGGGGTTATAATGCAGGAAACTTAGAAACAACATGGAAGGTTCGGTTAGCTGTTAAACCAGTTTATGAGGAGTTATGGAAAACACCAAGATTATTATCAAGTATTGAAACGGTGGCAATTGGACGACCACCAGAGGAAGGGGAGGAGGAATTTGCAGTTGAGGGCAAACATTGGCTCCACTGTGATCAAGGTGCAGAGAAATTTGGTCTTCATGCTTATCAGGGAGGCGTTTACCTTGAGGCGGCTGAGGAAGATGATTGGACATTCTATGTTCTAAAAAAATCCCACAAATTTCTAGATGAATTGTACGTCAATAATAAGAAAGGTGCCGAACAGAGTGCACAGCATAATTTCTTTGATATTCGTGAGAATGATTTAGATTGGTTTAAATCTAAAGGATGTGAACTACTCAGAGTTGCCGTTCCTAAAGGTGGCATGGTTCTGTGGGATTCTAGACTGATCCATGCCAATGCAAGGCCAGTAAAGGGTAGAAAAAATCCCGGTCGTTGGCGATTTACGGTTTTAGTCTGTATGACACCAGCTTGCTGGGCTAATAAAAGCGATTTAGAGAAAAGAAAAGCTGCGTACAAAAGTGCTGTCATGCTTTCCCATTGGCCATCACAAGACATCCGTTTTGATATTCAAGGATCAAGTGCACCGCATGAACAAACCAAAAACATAGTATTCCCGGAAAAACTTTCTGGTATTGCAACCACAGCTGAAGTTCAAGAGTTGTGTGGATATAAAGAGTATGATTTCAGCAACGTAAAATCAAATCCAGAAATAAGTTATCCAAAATGGAAACAAATTTTACACAATCCTCCTTCAGAATATTTCAACGACCAAAGATTAGAACTAAGCGAGTCTACACACGACTGGGCGTCTTACTGCACTTTACTTTAATGATGGTTGATAGTTAAATACCTCAACTTTGATTAAGACTAGAAGAGCCAAGTTATTTAATAAGATATGAGTGGCCTTCAAGATCTTAGCCCTTTTAAAAGATTTTTATTAGTTTACTTGATTGTTGAAATGTAATAATAATGTGTCTACTGCAATTATGCTTGCAATTGCTCTACTCATTTGGGGCGTCATAATTAACAAATAAAAATTATATTGATCGTTCTGTATAATGTATGTTAAATGTTGGATTATCAAGGCTGAAGTTTTTCTATCTTTTCCAATAATTTGTTGAAGAAGAAAAACAACGAAAATTGTAATGACTTATTAAATTGCACCAATTATAGAACAGCAAAATAATAAGAAAGTAATAACGTAATTATTTTAAATTTACGAAAACATATATCATCTATTTAAGGTATGATATTGCTTATATTTTCGGACAGTCGAATATTAAAACAAATATAGATAACATAAATATTTTAATTTTGAAAACACCATTTACAAAAACACATATTTAATAGTAAGGAAGAGGAAGTTATTGTCACGTGATTATCTAGTTTAAAGTTCAATCTGAATGCTATCTTATTTCCCACGGAGGAATTTATAAATTGTGTTTGATAAAATATAGATAGACGTCTATATATAAGGCTATTAATGTTAAACACAAATGAGAAGACATGAATAACTCTTAGAAATTCGTGTGGCTCAGTCTTTGGTTTTGTATATTGTGTTATGTATACTGTTGGGTTTTTTTTGTCGGATTTTGATTTTTACCATGGCATTGTCGGTTAGCCTTTGAAAGTCTCTTTTTTTTTTTGCACTCTGAGACCAAATTGAAGCTCTATTTTTCTCGTCACTTTCAGATGATTGTCTATCGGCTTTTCAGTCCAGTCCGACGCCACTGCTTGCTATTCTCGATTGATCCCTGCCATATAAACTGTTTTATGAGTAAAAAAAACCCTGAGTGTTGTGTACAATTCCTTTGCTTTTCGTGAGAATGAAATAGAGTGGTGTAAAAATCAAGGATGGGACTACCGAGAGTTGCCGTTTCTAAAGGTGGCAGGTTCTGTGGGATTCTAGATTGATCAATGCCAATGAAAGGCAAATAAAGGGAAGACCAATCCGATCGTTGGCGATGTACAGTTCTAGTTCGTATAACGCCGGTTATTTCGGCAAATAAAAGTGATCTAGAGAAAAGCTGCGTACGAATGTGCTTCTATGCTCTTCCATTGGCAACACAAGACATTTCGTTTTGAAATTGAAGGACCCAGTGCACCATCTAAACAAAAGAAAGCTATAGAATACCCACAGAACATTCTGGGGTCTTGCAACCACAGCTGAGGTTCAAGAGTTGTGAGGATATAAAGAGCATGACTTCAGCGACGTAAAATCAAGTCAAGAAATTAATTACCCAATTTACAAAATGTTCTTTTTTAATTCAACGACCAAAGATTAGAACCAAGCGAGTCTACACACGATCGGGAATCTGTCTGTGTTTTACTCTTATGCATACTGGTATGCTAAATGTAAATTATTATACAGGTTAAGGCATTGCACAAAATCGGTTAGGTTTTCAAGTATGTAAAAATGTAGATTCTGTAATGAAATGCATCCAATTTTTGAAGAACCCCTCGAAAGTACAGTGAAAACTAAGTGCACACCGTTTTAGGATTAATGGAGATGTATCACTAACTTTAGTACAACCCGCGACTAGGACAATTTCCATCCCACACAAAGGGAGTGTTAGGGGCCCGGTAAGTAGTCACAATAGTTCACACTAGAACTGGAGTTTGAATATATATTAAATAGTAAATTCAGTTTTTCTCTTTTAATTGACCGATGTTCGATTCAAAATATTTCGTCTTTCTCCTATTTAAATTTATGCTAATAGAATAGGATATTGTTCCAGGCGTGACTATTTGGTTCGCAAATTAGAAAATTTTTATCTTCTATTCTTGAATAACGGGAAAGGCGACTGGTGTCCTTAAAACTATTCTCTCTTACGGGACACACAGGTTAAGCATCGGTAATTGCTGTTGTTTGTGTTGCTTTGTCTGTAGTTTTCAGCTGTTTCGTGATTGGTGGGCAATATATTTTTTTTCTTTTTCTTCTGCCCTTCTTTCATTGAGTTGTAATCATACTAAAACTCAACTCTATTTTGACCCTAACAAAGGCAAGTAATAATGTTCAACTATATATGCAGAGTAGAGGACCTCAGATTAAAATCCTCTAACAGAGGAATTATTGTTGTTTTTCCAAAACTATTTATTATAAGTATTGATTTCTCCACAAAATTTATTTAGCTTGAATGAAACATTTAAGGTATCGAAGGTCAGTGACAGAAATCACAAGGTTCGTTAATATAACATAATAAATAGAAAAGTCTTTGTGTAATATTGTTATATATGTTGAAATGTTCTATATAGAAGTTTTTTAAGGAAATGTCAGTTCAAGACATAGCAAAGCATATATACTTGAAGATGCCCCAATAACATAATTGAGTCTCATCGGATAGAAATCGACCTTATCGACCTTATGCAAGTGCACGTATGCATGAATGTGTAAGATTTTGATTGATTTTGGAATATTCAAATACGAAATGAAAGACGAGTTTTTGCTTGTTTTGTATGGTTCTTATAACAACTCAATTTTCAAAGTTACAGACTTTCCGTTAAAATTTTTTAACCCCGAAATAGGTTAACAGATGTATTTATATTCATTTGCATAAGGTCGGTTTTTATCTGACACAACTCAATTGTTACACTGCATAATAGTTTTGGATAAATTGATCCTGATCCACTTCGTCTATTGAAATTTTATTTCTTCAATTGTTCACTATTAAACAAAAAAAACGTTTTGCCAGAAGAGATAATGCAAATATCTTTCAAAACTTTTTTTTTCATCAACGACCCCTTCCCTCTGTTTAACCCATATTTGAACGCTAGGCATGTATGAAAACATAGAAATGTTAGCAGCTAAATAACCAAAAGTGACCTACAAAGAATAACCTTAAGTCAACTGTGTTAAATAAATCAACAGATAATTGATGGAAAAGTCTGTAATAAATCACTTTCCAAGGCCGACTATTTGAACTGCTGATACCCTTAAGTACTAAATCACTCCCCAAGTCCCTGACTACAGTGCTGATGATACCCTCGGGGACTAACAGTCCAGCAGCAGTAATATAGACCTAGTGCTAGAAAATGAAAAGAATACTTTTTATTTGGTGCATTTGAACCTCTTTTCTGTATTGACCTTTATTAGGAACGCTTAAAAACGGGATTTTGAGGTTTCTAATCCGCAATTCAACCTAATGGTTAGTGGTTGTTAGTTGTTTTGTCTGCATAATCTGCATGCTTGCCACATTTAAGTGTAGTTGTTAGCAAGTCGGATCAAATAATCTGCCCCTGATGTATAAAACTGGCAGAGATACATCAAAACAAGTAAGCGCCTTTGATATGGAGACTATCTCTCATTAGATTATTTCCTCATATAGAAGTTATCTCATATTAGCCCTCCTTATGTTCACAATTTTATATATATATATTATACGATATTTCTCCACTCAAGACGGCTAAATTTTCATTTTCAAAACATGAGGCTTGATGTGATGTCCTTGTAGGAAATTCAGAGGAAAGCAAGAACATTAGTTCTTATAACTGAATTTTGTATAACAAGAGTGCACACGCTGAAATGTCTCGCCTTCTTTACTAATCATTGATATTGTGTTGATAGTCCTAAATATAAAGCTTTATTTCAACTGTCACATAAACTTAACATTAACCAAGTAAACTAAACATTGACCAATGAACCATGAAAATGAGACCAAGGTCAGATGAACCATGCCAGGCAGGCATGTACGGCTAATAATTCTTCCATACAACAAATATAGTTGACCTATTGCTTATAGTTTAAGAAAAACAGACCAAAACACAAAAACTTAACACTGAGCAATGAACTGTGAAAATGAGGTCAAGGTCAAATAAAACCTGCACGACTGACATATAGATCATAAAATATTTCCATACATCAAATATAGTTGACTTATTGCATATAGTGTTAGAAAAAAGGCCAAAACTCAAAATCTTAACTTTGACCACTGAACCATGAAAATGAGGTCAAGGTCAAATGACACCTGCAAGCTAGACATGTACACCTTACAATCATTCCATACACCAAATATAGTAGACCTATTGCATACTGTATAAGAAAAACAGATCAAAACACAAAAACTTAGCTATAACCACTGAACCATGAAAATGAGGTCAAGGTCAGATGACACCTGCCAGTTGGACATGTACACCTTACAGTCCTTCCATACACCGATCATACTTGACCTATTGCTTATAGTATCTGAGATATGGACTTGACCACCAAAACTTAACCTTGTTCACTGATCCATGAAATGAGGTTGAGGTCAAGTGAAAACTGTCTGACGGGCATGAGGACCTTGCAAGGTACGCACATACCAAATATAGTTATCCTACTACTTATAATAAGAGAGAAATTAACATTACAAAAAATGTTAACTTTTTTTTCAAGTAGTCACTGAACCATGAAAATGAGGTCAAGGACATTGGACATGTGACTGACGGAAACTTCGTAACATGAGGCATCCATATATAAAGTATGAAGCATCCAGGTCTTCCACCTTCTAAAATATAAAGCTTTTAAGAAGTTAGCTAACGCCGCCTCTACCGGATCACTATCCCTATGTCGAGCTTTCTGCGACAAAAGTTGCAGGCTCGACAAAAATGTATGAATTGGGTAAAAATAAGGGAGAAACCATCACTGATCTCCATACACATTTCAAGATAAATACTGGACATGATCTATTAACATGAACCTGTTTTTTTTCCTGGATATTTAACCTGCAATTTAAGCCTTATCTAGGACACATCTTAAAGTGGTTAAGAACAATCTTACAAAGGATAACTATTGAACTACAAGCAGTACAGGTGGTGTAAAGTTTTGATTCCTAACCCTGACCAACAATCATCTACTATTATCTCCAAGTGGAAATTAATATACAGAAAAGACATAGTTTGTGAAAATAAGCAGCTTGACAACTGGAAGGAGGAAAAACAGTTGTCTCATTGGCAATTATATCACATCTTCGTATTCTTATATCACTATTTCCGCAACAAAGATTTAATAACAAAAATTTCCATCAAGGCATATTTAAAAGCAAAACAAAATTTCTGAAGAACTAAGAGGT